CCCCTCCTGCAGCAGGCTCCCTTCTTCCTTCTGTATGACTGCTCCCCCCAGACACAGGTTAATCGTCCCACTCTTGCCTGACTTCTGAGACCCCTCCTGCCCCCATCCAGGGCCCTTGCTCCCCTAACCCAGCACCCACCTGTGCCCCAGCCTCCTCACGGAGCACTGGCTGTGGCAGGACCATCTCCAGTCTATGCAGGAGCCACGCCACCAACCTGTGGGTGGGAGAGAGCGGCCATGTCCAGGTGGGAAAGTGACACCAGAGTCTGATCCCCCCAACCCAAGGCAGATGGCAAGCCCACCAGAGGCTGACCAGAACCCAGGTCTCCAGCCCCAAAGACTATAGTCCCCCTCCCTGGCCTCCTTATTCCAGTCTCTGGCTATTGCTCAGACCCCAGCAGGTAACTCAGGCTGCACTCACCCTCTGGCCCACCCCAGAAGTGCATCTCAGGCCCCTCACCCACTGCCAGGGTGGGGGGACTTGTGAGCACCTATCTCGATTTTAAATGCATGTATCCTTTGGCCCAGCAACTTCATTTCCTACACATTTGCTTGCAAGTGGCAAAATGATGCCTGTACAAGGCTATTGCTTGCAGCAAAAGAGTGGAAACAAACCTAACTGTCTACTATGTGGTTAAATACAGCTGGTACATCCAGCCCTGGCTGGTGCTGCTCAGCGGTTAGAGCAAACGCCTGCAGACCAAAGGGTCGCAGGTTTGATTCCTGGTCAAGGGCATGTGCCTCAGTTGCAGGTGCGGGAGGCAACCAATCGATGTGTCTCTGTCACATTGATGTTTCGCTCTTCCTCTCTCTCTCCCTCCTCCCTCCTCTCCACTCTCTCTAAAAACCCCCAAAATCGATGGAAAAGAAATATCCTTGGGTGAGAATTAAAAAATAAAATAGGGTGATATCAAGACGGTGGCGTAGGTAACAGCTGTGCCCGCTGCCTCCTGCAACCACATCAAAATTACAACTAAAATACAGAACCACCTTCACTCAGAGGCTCCTGAAATCTAGCTGCACAGGAGAACTAGGGAACTGAAGGAGCATCGAGAGCAGTAGGAGGGGCGGAGACACGGGCGGGTCGGGGCTGAATCTCAGAGACGCGGCCGCGGTTTAAACCCGGGAGGGAATCTCAGCGGCGGCGGAGGTTTCCCCAGAGGAGCGAGGGGTCCCAGCCCCACAGCAGGCCCCCAGCCCAGGGCTCCAGGCCGGGAAGAGACGTCCCCACAACTTTGGGCTGTGAAACCAGCAGGGACTGTGGCTGAGGGTCACAGAGGCTGCGGGAGCCCCAACAGCTCCTCTTAAGGGCCCGAGCGCGGACTCACTCGGACGCTCCCTCTGAGCCCAGCGCCGGGCAGCAGCCGGGGGACCTGGGACACTCGGGGAGGAACTAACCTGCCTGGAATCGGGGCGAGAGCTGGAGGGGCGGTTTCCTCCCAGGCAGAAGGGCTGGCGGAGGCCATGGCTCCTGTGGCGAGTCCTCCCCACACAGCCGGCAGGCAGGCGNAAATAGAAACAAACACCAGGAAGCAGCCAAAATGCGGGGCAAAGAAACATGCCACAAAGAAAAGAACAGAAGAAATCTCTAGATAAGGAACTAAATGAAATAGAACCAAGCAAGCTAACAGATACAGAGTTCAGAATTTTGTTTATAAGNAGAGGCTGCGGGAGCCCCAACAGCTCCTCTTAAGGGCCCGAGCGCGGACTCACTCGGACGCTCCCTCTGAGCCCAGCGCCGGGCAGCAGCCGGGGGACCTGGGACACTCGGGGAGGAACTAACCTGCCTGGAATCGGGGCGAGAGCTGGAGGGGCGG